AGAAAAAGTAACGTGACTCATCATAGGAGTTATTTACCAAATGAGTAAAATAACTAGACAAATTTCAAAGGACATAAACTTATTTTGAAGGAGAAAAGTGACTTTTTGGAGGACCATACAGTGTAGAATGCTGCTGATAGTGAAATAAAAACAAAAGGAACACCCACAAAACTGCCCTTAGCCCCTCTCACGCAAACAGAATCAAACATTTACAATTAGGAGCTCTCAGAATGTATATAAAATACTACAAACCTGTATTGGTTGGTCTGTGGTATATGTTAGACAAATGTTTGAAAAATGCCAAACATTTGCAATAAATTAGAAACCTAACCAATAAGATGATTGCAAACTCATGGTGCCTGCCAGGAAAGATTGCTAAAGAACTTTGCATTTTCTTTAACTAATGATGTCTGCAGGAAAACAATTAGAGATTGAAAGAGCAATGCTGCTGAAGCCCTGAAAAGGATTAGGAAGCCCCCTTCCCACCCCAGGGGACCCAAATCAGCTTAGACACATTGTGTATGTTTTCCTCTCAGGAAGAATATCAAGGGCCCATGCGGTTTTCATTGCTTTGATGGTTTTTGCACAGGAACTCCCCCTCTGTTTTCTAAAAACTTGAGAATCTGCCTTTTGCATGATTTTCTCCCGTTAATTAAAACCACTCCCAAGATAAAAGCTGACAGTGATATAACGAGGATCCTCGGAGACTCCCTTGATGCCCTTTTCCTCAACACCTGAGTGGCGACAGCCAATGCTCAATTTTCCTGCACGCTCTGCGCCGGTCCGGGTTTTAGTTTCAAAACCTAAATTGGCAAAGGACAAAAAATACCTCAACAGATCATCTGCTCGAGCACCCTGTTTATCCTGCCTGCCCAGGAAGCGTTCCTGCCACTCGAATCCTGCCCAGCGGTGAGAAGGTGCCCAAAGAGGCTGGGCGAGGAGCGTCTGGCCGGGATGCTCGCCACACGAGGCCACTCAGCCTGGCCCCAGCACTGCATCTTTAACACTAATTGTACATCTGTTTTTTTTTTTTTTTTAAAGGGGCCTTTCAGTTCCTCGTTTTCTTTAATTTTGTTTAGTAACCGTCCCTTAAGTATACCTCGTACAACACAGGAAAAGAATGAGAGGCTTGGGGCAAGGGTGGGGGATCTCAAATTTGACAACAGGCTTGTCGCGATGACAGACCAGGGCAGGGAGAGCAAGGACGGACCGGGACACCGGGCACAGGAGAGGGATCCCGCGACAGCGGCTCAGCCCAGCTGGGAGTGGGGGGGAGTGAGCGGGAAGGCTTACCTTCCTCGGTGGCCGGTAGGAGGTGGTCGCTGCTAGCGAGCGGGATGCAGAGGTCGTTGTCCTGGGGGAAGCGGTCGCACTCGAGCATGTCGGGCCAGGGGAAGCCGAAGGCGGACATGACCGGGGCGCAGCGGTCCTTCACCTGCACGCAGAGCGAGTGGCACGGCTGGATGGTCTCGTCCAGGTCGTCAAGGCAGACCGGGGCGAAGAGCGAGCACAGGAACTTCTTGGTGTCCGGGTGGCACTGCTTCATGACCAGCGGGATCCAGGCGCCCGCCTGCTCCAGCACCTCCTTCATGGTCTCGTGGCCCAGCAGGTTGGGTAGCCGCATGTTCTGGTACTCGATGCCGTGACACAGCTGCAGGTTGGCCGGGATGGGCTTGCAGTTGCTGCGCTTGTAGGAGAAGTCGGGCTGACCGAAGAGGAAGAGCCCGCGCGCTGAGCCCAGGCAGCAGTGCGAGGCGAGGACGAACAGCAGCAGTGAGCCGGGGCCCTGCAGCATCGTGGGCGCGCGACCCCCGGGGGGCGGAGAGAGCGGAGCCAGGGAAGCGCGAGGCGGCCGCAGCCGTAGCTCGTCCCGGGCCCGCTCGCTTTGCTCGGCGCGGCTCGGGGACCTGGGAAGCCGGCGGCTGGAGCACCAAGAAGCCGAACACCGGGAAGACCGCGCGGGCGAGGCGTTACTAGCCCGCGCGCAGCTCCAGGGGGCTCCGACCCGGGGGAGCAGAGTGAGCAGCAGCTGGGGCACAGCCAGAGTTTTCTCGGCCTTTTTTATGCAAATATGAGGTGGGGGGAGTAAGGGAGGAGCCAAGGCAGGGTAATCTGAGGAGGGCTGGTCACTACTTTCGTGGTCTGGTTTTCGGTTGAGAATGCCCCTCACGCGCTCCCTGGAGGGCAATTCTGGCCGCGCCCCCTCCCCAGATCCTGCCGCGCGCGCGCTCTAGGATTGCTTTAAACAACGCACGGGCGGGGCTGGCCGCTGCGCCCCAACAGTGAGCGAGTGGGGCGCGGGCTGCGGAAGCGGGGGGCACGCGGGAACCACGGCGAGAGGTCCCGAGCCGGGCCCGGGAGGGAACGCGCTCCGCCCCTTGTGTGCCCCTGGCTGGGGTTTGTTTTGTGCCAGCCCAAAGTTTTCCCTCGCGCTGTGGGATTGCGGGGAGGGATGGTGTCCCCAGGAGCCGAGAGCCGGCTGTCCCCCTGGCTCTTTGTGGCCTAGGCTTGAGCCCAGGACCTGCTCGCTCCAGTCCCCCCGGGCAAACTTTTTTCCTCCCAAATCTCCAGCCACAGTTCAGCAGCTTAGCCCATGCCGTGTGGTCCCCTAGGCATTAAAAAAAAAAATATATATATATATTTTTATATATATATATTTGTGATATATATATAAAATAAATAGAGTCGTATAGCATAACTTTTATGGAAACGGAATAACAACAAGTAGAACAACAAGTTAGGCTTGTTATTTTTTGTATTGAGTTGTCTGGAAGAATTTGCCGTTGTAGAAACGCCCCGTCAGAATCCCGGCAGAATCACACGGGACTGCCCACCACTTACCGGTTTGGGAGAAGAGACTTTACTCCCTAACTTAAGTCAGTGGGATGACACAACACTCAGGCCATCTCGGGCCCTAACACACTCCGGTCCTGACAGCAGGGCGCTCGGGAGCGCCTGAGTACGGCCGCCAGGGGACCATTTGGAAAGACTAGTGGCCAGCACAGGAGACTGGCAAACAGTGCCAGGCGGCTTGGCTGGGAAGAGCGGCCTCGGCGGGACTAGTTCATTCATCCGACGTGTACCAGCGGGCACCACGCTGGGCGCCGGGTGTGCAGAGAGGAACAAACAGGCCAGCCTCTGCTCTCGTGGGGCTGGGGTCTAGAGTCTTTTGAGAACTACAAACAGTAAGTTCACAGCTGTAAACCGGGAATAGAGTGCCAGGAAAGGGAAGGGATAGGGGTGTATGTGTGGGAGTGCTTCTTTTCACTAATCACCCCAAAGCTGGCAGCCTCCTCATCCCCATCCCCCCTTCAAGGGGTAGAGGTGCAGATCTAAAGAGATAATCCCCGGAGGCAAGGTTCTTTCATATGTAAGATGGGCGCATTGTTACTACTTTCCGGCCACTTAGAGCCATTGACAATTTAAAACTGCTGCTTCCCTACTTCCCTCCATCGGAAGATGTTTGGCCTTGGTGGTCCCCCTGGCCCAGGTTTACCAAGTACACTTTGTGCTCCTTAAGCTCCTTAGGCTTGGAGGAGGGGCGCCTAAAGAGTGGGTGACGAAAGCGCATTCAAGGTTATCTCCTACCTCTTCCTGGCCATAAACGCCCCAGTAAAATCGCCATCTGGAGGCAGCGCACTTTTTGAACTCCAAAAATCTGCGTCCCTAAAAGTTCAGCTTTCGTCTTTCCTCCTTGGCGGGGTGCTCTGCGGAGGAAGGGCGGGGACAGGCAGCAAAAGACCGCTCTTCCCCCGATTTGGTCCTGGGCCTTTTCATCTCTAAGTAAAACTCCAACAGGCCTAAACATTTCCCCCCAGCTGCCCAACACAAACTGCTTTGCAGATAAACCCTAAAGGAAAAGAGAAGCATACCAAACCAAAGAGCAAATTAGAGCCTGAGCTCTGAGAAGGAATTGTGACCGGCGTGGGATAAGGGCCCTCCACCGCCCTGCTCTCGCCCCCCAACGCCCTCCCCTGGGGTCACCTCGGTCCCGCGATGCCCTTGCATGGGCTCTAGGTGCCCGAAGTCAGTCGGGCAAGTTTGAGCCACGTGCGGCCACACGCCGGGAAGGGGCTAGGAGCCGCGCGCCGGGCCGGGGAGCGGCATTGTTTTGGGGAGCCGGTGTGGCCCGCTCGCCGCCAGGGGGCGCCGGGAGCCGTGCGGTGTCCTGCTCCGGCTGGCCCCGCTGCCCTGGCTGCGGCGCCCTTCCAGCACCCGCGCCGTGGGGGCCCGCGCCTCGACGCCACCCTGCATTGCTGCGTCTTTATCCCCAGCTCGGGTGGTGTTCCCTACTTTTCTTTCCCTTCTTCCTCTCGTCCGCGAACAGCTAGGTGGACGCTCCTGACAAGCACAGCCGCAGGGGACGCTAATTGTTGGGGAACACGGAGGTTACTTCCAGCCCCGCAGAGGCTGATACCCCGGCGCCGGCGCGGGCCGCGTCTGTGTGAAAAATGCACGGGCCGGCAGGCTCAGTGACTGTCCCTGGGCTCCTCCCCCGGGTCCCTGAGCACTGGCATCCAGTCCCCCGACGCGGAACGCCGGAGGGGAGAAGTGCACGCACGGGGCTGCCCAGCCGCCGGGCCCTGTTAACCCGGGCTCCTCTCCGCTCCGTGTGGGTCCACAGGTCTCCGATTCTGGCGATTTACCACAACCTGCCAAAGGCTTCTGCATTTACAAACGCCCTCTCGCTGCCCACTCAGTTCCTTTCCGTTTTAGCAACAGAAACTCTGTTCACTGAAACCCGGGGCAGGTGGAAGTGGGTGCCCACTCCCTCGTGAGCTGCTTACAGGGGCGGCTCAGGGTGTCCTGGCAAGGGGCGGCCCAGACCGCACCCGCACCCGCGCGGAGCCGCGTCTCGCCCCTGCGCTGCAGGCCTTAGGAGAGCCTCAACCACCGCGTTCTGGATTTGCCCCACTTCTCGGCTTGAGTGCTTCTTGTGGTTGGGGCGCCTAAAAGCTTGAAGGACAAAGAAGGCTCCCCGCAGTCCGTCCGGAATAGTGTGGCTTTTGGGTTAAATCTGTGCGGGCTGTGAGAGTTTCTGGGCCGGCAAGACCCCCACTCACACGCTCGGAGGCACTGGCCTGTCCAGAGTCTGCTGCGCATCGTAGACACCCTTGGAAAGCGAGCACCGCACCCCCTCTTGCGAATGTATAATGGGAGCATATGGACCCCAAAGCAGGAAGGAGTAGAACAATTGGTGTAACAGCTGGCTTCCTAATTCTCATACCCAGCACCTGTTACGGAGGGGCATCTCGAATCCATGTGCGGCACTCTGAGGCGCCGCCAGGGTTCATACCACCCACTGGCCTATC